TCGGCGACGCCCGGCTCTCAGGGCTGCCCCTTCCCCAGGGCACCTCCGCGCGACTGGCAGGGCAGGACCCGGGCAGCGAGCCGGAGCACTCGGAGACCAGCAGATCGGCCTCCATCGGGCCCCTGCGCTGCGGCGCGGCCGCCGCCCCTGCGCCCCTGGGCCCAGCATGGGCTCGAGCCAAGCTGCGGACCCATCCGCGCCACCCGCATCGCTCCCTGAGGTCTGGGCGTTGCAGCTTCTTCACGCCCCACGTTAACGCCCGGCTTCGAGCCCCGGGGTCATCGCAGACCGATCCGGCTCGGAGGGTGCGGGGAAAGATGGGGTCCCGGGGTGTTGCAGCGTTTGTTCGCAACGTCGGATCTCACGGTACCCCCCTCCCCTCTGGGCAAGCCTCGGCCCCGCTGTCCGGCCTGCTCCGCTCGGGTGGGGGTGGACGCCCTCTCCGCTGGGGCTCACAGAGGGGGGGGCATCCATCTCAGTCCTCGAGGGGTCAGGCTGGCTTCGCTGACGGGGACGGGCGCTTCTGAGCGCTACGAACAATGGAGCAATACGAGGCGGAGGAAGGCGAGCTCCTGGAAGCCTGGCTCCCACAGGCAGGCCACAGAGGACCGAAACCCTCCTGAGCAGAGGCTCCAGCCCCACTCTGAGAGCCCACCTCCCATGCGGAAGCTTTATCCAAAATCACCAGAAGAGAAAGACACATAGACAGAAAGGGTCGCAGGTCCGCGCGAATTCTTGGGTCGGCGCGGGAGGCGCCGCCAGGGTGGGTGTGCGCCCCAGCACCGATCCAAGAAGCCCGCGCGGACCTCCGAGCATTTCTGCTTGTGCCGTTGCTTGTCCTTCGGGAGATGAATGTTCGACCTCCACTGGTCGGGGTTCGGGACCCTCTGGGAGACGTCGCGTCGTCTGCCATCCTCGCCGAAGGCTCGACCTCCTAAGGTCGGAATTTGGGACCCTCTGGGGACGTCGTCTGCCGTCCTCGCCGTCGCCGTGCGCCTTCGCCGCTGGCGACTCTCTTCCCTGACTCTGGATCCGCCTCACTTTAAGGCGGTTTCGCGAATAAGGCGAACAGGTTCGCCCTACTGTTCAAACTCCTTTTTTGCCGAGTTCTGCCCTGGTCAAACAAGGCCCCGGACGAACGTGGCCTGGTGGCGGAAATGTTGAAGCACTCGAATGTTGAACTGAGGGAGATATTACTTACGCTGTACAATGCTGTGCTTGCTGGCGGGGACGTTCGGGAATCATGGCACAAGACGTTCTTCATCATGTTGGCAAAGAAGACGCACGCCAAGGCAGTCGGATATTTTCGGCCTATAGCGAGCATCCGTCTTCTCTACAAGTTGTTTGCATACATGTTGCTGGGGCGCGTCGAGCACGTGCTAGAGTCGCAACAACCAGAGGAGCAGCACGGCTTCAGATCTAATAGGCGTCTGGAGGAGCATCTTCTGACAGCAACTCTTGTCATAGAGAAGACTTTGGCGGCGAATGTTCCGCTCTGGATTGTGAGTTTGGACTTATCAAAAGCGTTCGACCGAGTATCTTGGGCTGCGTTGTGGGAGGCTCTGCGGCAGCTCGGCGTCAGCGACCATCTGATTTGGACAATGCACCGTCTGTACCGTGACCAGGAAGGGCAAGTCTTGGGCGATTGGGCCAGAAGCCAGGCATTTCCGATCAATGCTGGCGTTCGCCAAGGGTGCGTGCTCAGCCCGGTTCTTTTCACAGCTGTCTTGGAGTGGGCCATGCGTGCGCGGAGAGCTCGCATTTCGCATCTTGGATTTGATTTGGGCGACGGTTTGAGGCCGCTCATAAACTTACGCTTTGCCGATGACATCTTATTGTTTGCCAAATCAGCGGGCGAAGCCAAATTGCAGCTGGACGCACTGGTCGACGAATTGGCCAAAGTTGGGTTGGTTCTGAATGCGGCCAAGACGGTGGTGATGACAACAGAGGCGCAACCTCCACAAGAAATTACCACGCGGGCCGGCGCAACAATCCAAGTCCTCCCCCGGAGTACCGCCCACAAGTGGTTGGGATGCATGCTGTCCGTGGGTGGTTCTGGAACGCACAATTTGGACGTGGAGTATCATCTGACATCCGCAAGCAACGCTTTCTTTGCAAACAGGGACATTCTATGCGACCGGAATGTTTCTCTCGCTGCCCGGCTTGAGTCTTTCAACCGCGTCGTGACGTCAGTGGCGTGTTTCGGAGCTGGTGTCTGGAAGCCGTACAGCGATTCACTGCGCGGGGTAGACGTTGCATTCCGGCGTCTGATGCGGCAGGTCGTTGGCCCGCCTGCAGGCGTGGATTGGTCCCAACCGTGGCATGAGACTCTGCACTTATGGCACGAAAAGCTCAGCCAAGCATTGGCGGAACATGGTCTTCGCACATGGTCGAGAGAGTCCATGAAAAAGTATTGGGATCTGGCAGCATACGTTGCGGGTTTACCTCCTGATCGGTGGGTGCAGAGAGCCTTGCATTGGACGCCGTCGGGATCACGCTCACAGGGTCGTCCTCTTCTGTCATGGGACGCGAAGCTACCCTCGTTCTGCCAGCCGAACCACATCGGACCGTGGCAAGAAGCTGCACAAGATTACTCAGCATGGGTGGAAATGACAGAAGATTTCCTGGACTTCTGCACGTCGGCGTGAGCAGGCGCGATGCTTCCTTTGCGCACCAGGCCTGAATAGTGACTGGCATCTGATTTTTCCCTCGCGCCCTATATGGGCCCGCCCTCGTGCGAGCGGGGTGACTTGACTTGACCTCTGCCCTGGTCAATTTTGATTTGTTGTGCAATGCCAGAATGAACTTTCCGACCCCCCAATTCCCCGACTGGCCGATCCCCCGACTCCCCGACTGGCCGACCCCCCGACTCCCCGACTCCCCGACTGGCCGACTGGCCGACTCCCCGACCCCCTGGCTTTCCGACTCCCCGACTTCCCGATTGACCGAGTCCCCGACTGGCCGACTCCCCGACTCCCCGACTGGCACACTCCCCGACTCCCCGACTGGCCGACTCCCCGACTCCCCGACTGGCCGACTCCCCGACTCCTCGACTGGCCGACTCCCCGACTCCCGACCCCCCCAACCCCGGGACTCTCCGACTCCCCGATTGGCCGACAGGCCGACTGGTCCCGACTCCCTGACCCCCCGAGTCCCCGACTGGCCGACTCCCCGACTGGCCGACAGGCCGACTGGTCCCGACTCCCCGACTAGCCGCCTCCCCGACTCCCCGACTGATCCCGCGACTCCCCGACTCCCCGACTCTGCGACTGGCCGACTGCCCGACTCCCCGACTGGCCGACTGGCCGACTGGCCGACTGGCTGACTCCTCGACTGTCCGACCCCCCCGACTGGCCGACTCCCCGACTGGCCGATTGGGCGACTGGGCGACTGGCCGACTGGCCAACTGGCCGACTGGCCGACTGGACGACTGGCCGACTCCCCGACTCCCCGACTCCCCGATTGGCCGGCTCCGCGACTCGCCGACTGACCGACTGGCCGACTAGCCGACTCTCCGACTGCCCGACTGCTCGACTGGCCGACTCCCCGACTCCCCGACTTTCCGACAACCCGACTCCCCGACTGGCCGACTGGCCGGCTCCCCGACTCCCCGACTGATCCGGCGACCCCACGACTCCTGACTCCCCGACTCCCCGACTCCCCGACTGGCCGACTCCCCGACTCCCCGATTCCCCGACTGGCCGACTCCCGGACCCCACCATTCCACGACTCCCCCACTGGCCGACTCCCCGACTCCCCGACTCCCTGACTGGCCGACTCTCCGACCCCCCTCCTCCCCGACTCTCCGAACTCCCGACTCCCCGACTCCCCGACTCCCCGACTTCCCGACTTCCCGACTTCCCGACTGGCCGACCCCCCGACTCCTCGACGCCCCGACTCCCAGACTCCCCGACGCCTCGACGCCGCGGCTCCCCGACTGGCCGACTGGCCGACTAGCCGACTGACCGACTCCCCGACTGGCCGACTCTCCGATTCCTCGACTCTGCGACTCCCTGACCCCCCGACTCCCGACCCCCCGACTGGCCGACTCCCCGACTCCCCGACTGGGCGACTGGCCGATTACCCAAATCCCCGACGTCCCGAATCCCCGACTGCCCGACTCCCCGACTCCCCGACTGGCCAACGGCCCGACTGGCCAACCTCCCGGCTGTCCGACTGGACGACTCCCCGACTGGCCGACTCCCCGACTTCCCGACTGTCCGACTGGCCGACTCCCCCACTCTCCGACTCCCCGACTCCCCGACTCCCCGACTGGTCGACTGGCCGACTGGCCGACTCCCCGACTCCCCGAGTCCTCGACTCCCCGACTGGCCGACCCCCCCCCGACTGGCCGACTCCCCGACTGGCCGACTCCCCGGCTCCCCGACTCTCCGATTTCCCGACTCTCAGATTGGCCGACTCCTCGACGCCCCGACTCCCAGACTCCCCGACTCCCCGACTCCCTGACTGGCCGACTCTCCGACCCCCCGACTCCCCGACTGGCCGACTGGCCAACTGGCCGACTCCCCGACTGGCCGACTCCCCGACTTTGGCCGACTGGCCGACTCCCCGACCGGCCGACTCTCCGACTCCGCGGCTCCCCGGCTGGCCTCCCCCACACCCCGATGGTCAGTCGGAAAATTCATTACGGTATCTCAAACATTGTCCTACTCCCCTGGTCGCTGTTTCCGCCATACCTTTGCAGACACGGCCGCCCTGCTCGTCTGAGGCGGAAATTTCCAGCTCCAGCTTTCAAGCTCCTTCGATGCCGATCTCCGCCCCCGTCGCCGTTTCCGCCACACCTTTGCGGAAATAGCCGCCCTGCTTTTCTGAGGTGAAGATTTCCATGCTACTGTTTCGCATCGGTTAGGGCGCATGTCCCATACAAAGTCAGGTCAGATAATCAACCACAGCACGGCGGATTCGGAGTCAGCCTGCCAAGGCGCCCAGGTGGGCCGCCGCGGCCTTCTGGGGCGCAGGGTCCCTCTGCTGGTTAATGGCTAGACGACCTCGGCTGTCCCTCGACTCGCGTTCGGGCGCCCACGACTTGCTTCAGATTTTCCTGTGAGATCTCTGGAGTCACCTCGATCGTACCTGGATCTGCCTCGATTTGCAGGCACTCAACTCGACATGCCTGGCATGAACCCCGCGAGCCGATGGGCGAAAGGTCGTCGACCCCGCCAGGGATCTGACAGGCCCCCATGCTGGAAGGCCGCCGCCCTCAACGCAACCGAAGAGAGCAGCCATGCCACCGCAGGGGGGCCCCGAGGGAGCTGCTCGACTGCCACTGGTGCCACCAGGAGCACCGGCCAGATCGCTCGACCGTGAAGCTGCCACCTCAGTCAGGGCCACAATGAATCGGGCCAGCACGCTGAAGGCGCTGATTAAGGAACCGGTGGATAAGAAATCCAGGGTCTGGAAGCCAGTGGAACTCCAATCGCGGATTGACCATGGGTATCGTCGCCGCCATCATTCGATAAGGAATTCTCCAGGGTCTGAAGCCTCCTGGGCATGTTCCTTAATGAACGCCCCCACCGCACTCGAACCTCCTGGGCATCACCTGCAGGGTCTCGCCGACCGACCCGAACGCTTGCCAGAGCCTTCTCTGATCCCGAGCCGCCTTGCCCTGCCTCCACCCTCTTGGTGCGCAGCGGATGGATCTGCACAGCGTGGGCGCAAACTTCTGGAGGTCCTCGCGGACTTCTGGAGGTCCGCGCTGGGCACCCCTCCCTGCACCCGGCAGGGCCTCGGGCGCCGCCCCCAGCGTGCTGTGCGGGCCAGAGGAGGGTGTGCGGAGGGGGGCCTGGGGGCGACCTGTGATCGATCCCAGGATTTCTCTCGGGGTCCACGCTGACCGGTATTTACCCCGAGTCGATTCTTCAAAGCCCTGGGGCCTGAAACGGGCCCCTGGAGGTCGAAATCGAAAAGGCCGTCGATCCTCGACACTCCCGCGAGAACGACCGCTGGCGAAGACGCCCTGCTCCCGGTCTCCCTCCGTCCTCGAGGCCCCGATCATCCCGCCTCTTGGGAGGCGGGCCGCCGCCGCCTCTGCCGCTGGCTCCCAACAACCGCCGCCGCTGCCGCCGACTCGCGGCCGCTGCCGTTGCTGCCTGCGCCGCTGCCGTCGTCCCGCCACAGCTGCCGCTGCCGCTGGCGGTCGGGTCTCCCGCGTCTTGCCCCCGTCATCGGCGGCTGGCCGTGTCGCCCTCGAAGGCCTGGTGCTCCGCGGCTCCGCCGAGCGCTGGCCGTCCTCCGCGCGGCTGTCCCGCGCGGCCGCACCCCTGCCGCCCCTCTCGCGCCTGGGCCTCGGCGGCCCCGCCAGTGCTTCGGGATCCTCGCGCTGCTCCTGCTGGGGGGGGGGGAGCGGAAGGACCTCCGGCTGCAAGGGGCTCAAGGTGCGGAATGGCTTGAAAGCTGTTTTCGCCCTCTCGGGGCTGGCCGGGCGACGTCTCGCCGCCACGGCTGGATTCCCCTCGGAGTTCTGGCCAGAGCGCACTCCTGGACAAGTCCAGAGGTAGATTGTTGATCCCTGAACCAGACCCCCCCCCCGCGACGCGCAAAAAATCACGATAAGGGGGAGGAGAGGAGGGGGGGGAGGGAGGAGGGAGGGGGGGAGGGCAATTTTCAGCCTCAAGAAGCCTTCGTCGTGCCGTGGGACCGTCAAGAGACAACGGGGGGTGAAGAAGCCGGTCCGAAGAGGTGCCGTGGGAACAATGGCGCTTCGGCGCTCTGTCTCGCTCAGTGCTCAGCGCGCCGTGATATTTATAGGGAAACATGTACATTGACACATGCATATACAACACTGCATTGGCGCTTCGCGCCATGCACCTTGGTCCGTCAAGTTTGGTACGCAGGCGGAATGGCAGGAAGGTCAAATCGATAATGTAGCGATAACTCCGTGGTGCCTTTTCCAGCATCGCCGTCATAATAATGTTATTCGTTATCCTTCCTCCATGCTTATTTTTCTTCATTCTCGCCATACCCTGCGCATTCTCCCCATCCTCCTCAGAGCTCTTTTTGCGGAGGCTCCTCCTTGGAGAGCCTCTGGGGGGGGGCCTCACAAGAGTTGCTCAAGCTTTCTCAAGGCCTGCTGGGGGACTCCTGGGAGTGTTCTGGGGGCCTCTGGGAGCTTCCTCGGGCCACCCTGCCTCCAACCGCGGTCTCCCTGAACGACCGGGTTATGATTTGGAATGCTTCGGAGGGTGTCTTGGGGCCATCTTGGGCCGCCATGGGGCTCTCTTAGGGCCACCTTGGACGCCTGTTGTGCCGTTTTGAAGCTCTCTTGGACTGCCTGGAAGCCCTTTCGGATTGTTGTGGGGCAGTTTTGGAGCCTCCTAGGCGGCTTCGGACGCCAAGAAGAGCGCCCTCTTGGAGCGTCGGGAAGCCGAAAAGAGAAGAACCCCCAAATTCACAAAAAAACAACAGAAAACAAATGATTTGCGCCTCTTTGGGCCTTCCTCTTGGGACGTTTTGGAGCGATCTTTGGGGGTATCACGGCTTCTTGGGGGTCGTCGTGGACCGTACTGGGGCTCTCTGGGGTCGTTTCGGGAGCGCGCCGGGACGCCTGGAGCCCGTCTGGGGACGGCTCTGGGCTCTCGTGAGGTTCTCCCGGGTCGTCTGAAGGGTTGCCCGGAGGACTGGGGAGGGCCAAATTCGCTAGGGAGGGGGGGCGCTTTTTCCGGCGTCTCAGGCCTTATTGAAAAAACTAGACCACATATGCATATATATATATATATGTTTATCTATATGTGCACACATTTTTATATATACATATATACATATATATATATATATACATACATACATACATACATACATACATACATACATACATACATACATACATGCATACATACATACATACATACATACATACATACATACACATATATACATATACATATACATATACATATACATATACATATACATATATATGTTTACGTGTGTATATATATATGTGTACATACACACTTAAGAATACATGCACACACATAATCAGAGCTCGCCTCTGTAGGGGTCCTAGCGGATTCATATGATTTGGTTAGGTTTGCCGCCGATTTTCGCTGCACGCCCGGGTGCCCGGGTGCCCGGGGGTGCCCGGGTGCCCGGGTGCCCGGGTGCCTGCAGTGCCCGAGGGTGTGCCTGGGGGTGCCCGGAGGTGCCCTATAGCCCTATAGCCCTATAGCCCTGCAACTCTATAGCCCTATAGCCCTATAGCTCAGTAGCCCTATAGCCCTATAGCCCTATATCCCCTAACCCTATAGCCCTGATTGGGTTTTTTTCTCCGGTATCATGTGTATATACACACTTATGAATACATGCACACACATACATCCATACACACATACACACATACACACATACACACATACACGCAGACATACATACATATATACATGCATGCATGCATGCGTGCATACATGCATACATACATACATACAAACAAACAAGAACATATACATACATACATACATACATACATACATACATACATACATACACACACACATACATACATACATACGTACGTACGTACGTACGTACATACATACATGCATATACATGTATATATATAGATATACATATATACATGAGTACATACATACACACACGTACATACATATATACACATACACATACACATACACATACACATACGCATACACATACACATACACATACACATACACATGATAAACATATACATGTATATACACACATGAACATACACATGCACATACACCTATACATACACAAACACATACACACAAAACATACACATACGCATACACATACACATACATAAGTAGAAACTACAGACACATAACAATTACATAAGCACAAAAATGAACATATACATCTGAAAATGCATACACATATATACATACACAGCCGTGCATGCATACATAGCTACATATATATAGACATAGACGCATACACGCATGCATGTGCATATGTGTATATATATAGAGATATGAAAATACATGTGCAAATCCATATTCACCTATAAATATGTGTATATATGCAAACACTATACACATACATCTACAAGTATAAAAAACACATACATATAAACATGTACAGACACATACACATACACCTATACATATAGATCTGTATATATATATATATATATATATATAAAAAATATATTTACATATAGATATGCATGTACATACATGTGTAATATCTACATGTAGATAAATGTACATACATATATATATATATATATATATATATGTACAGGGGCCTGGCCCAGGGAGGTCCCCGTTCGAGCCAGCGCCGAAGACGCTATTCCCGCAAGGAGCTGCGGTGACGCCTCTATTCCGCTGACGCCTGGTGAATCTCGTGACGCCTCTATTCGGCCTGAAGCCTCTACTCCGTTGACGCCCACTGAAGCTCGTGAAGCCTCTATTCGGCCTGAAGCCTCTATTCGGCCTGAAGCTTGCATTCGGCGCGTGACGCCTCTATTCGGCCTACGAATTGCGACGCACTGGTGGGGTGGCGACCCTAGACGCGCCTATTCGGCCTGAAGCCTCTATTCCCCTGACGCCCACTGAAGCTCGTGAAGCCTTTATTCGGCCTGAAGCCTCTATTCCCCTGACGCCCACTGAAGCTGGTGACGCCTCTATTCGGCCTGCAGCCTCTACTCCCCTGACGCCCACTGATGCTCGTGAAGCGTCTATTCGGCCTGAAGCCTCTATTCCCCTGACGCCCATTTAAGCTCGTGAAGCCTCTATTCGGCCTGAAGCCCTGATTCCCCTGACGCCCGGTGGAGCTCGTGAAGCCTCTATTCGGCCTGAAGCCTCTATTACCCTGACGCCCGGTCGAGCTCGTGACGCCTCTATTCGGCCTGAAGCCTCTATTCCCCTGGCGCCCGGTGAAGCTCGTGAAGCCTCTATTCGGCCTGAAGCCTCTATTACCGTGGCGCCCGGTGAAGCTCGTGAAGCTTCTATCCGGACTGAAGCCTCTATTCCCCGCGCCCGGTGAAGCTCGTGACGCCTGTATTCAGCCTGAATCCTCTATTTCCTTGACGCCCGGTGAAGCTCGTGAAGCCTCTATTCGGCCTGAAGCCTCTCTTCCCCTGGCGCCCGGTGAAGCTCGTGAAGCCTCTATTCGGCCTGAAGCCTCTATTCCCCTGACGCCCAGTGAAGCTCGTGAAACCTCTATTCAGCCTGAAGCCTCTATTCCCCTGACGCCCAGTGAAGCTCGTGACGCCTCGCAGGGTTCGTGCCCCAGGGGAGGGCAAATCCATAAGCAAATACGTAAAACGCGAAAGATTCGTACCGCTGGAAAGGCATCGTGCCCCAGGAGAGGGCCAATCACGGTAAGGATTCGTCTCCCATGATACGGCCACTATCAGCACGCACGTGAAAGCACGAAAGATTCGCGCCCTAGGAGAGGGTCAGGCTATAGGCACATACGTGAAATACTAAGAGTATCCGTGTTCCAAGAGAAGGCCGATCTATTGGCACATACGTTAAACACAAAAGAATGTGTGCCCCAGGGGAAGGCCAACCTTTGTGCACACACGTAAGACACGAAGGATTCGTGCTCCAGGAGAGGGCGAATCTATAAGCACATACGTAAAGCACGTAGGGTTCGTGCCCCAGGAGACGGCAAATCCATAGGCGCATACGTAAGACACGCAGGGCTCGTAAATCTATAGGCAAACGCGTAAAACACGAAAGATTCGTGCCCCTGGAAAGGGCCAATCTATAGGCGTACACGTGAAACACAAAGGACTCATGCCCCAGGAGAAGGCAAAGGACTCGCGCCCCCCAAACAGGCAAATCTCTACGCATCACGTAACACGCTGAGGATTCGCGCTCCATGATACGGCCGATATGTATAAACACGCACGTAAACACTAAATATTCGCGCCCCAAGAGTATGCCAATCTATAGGCACATACGTGAAACACAACGGGTTCGTGCCCCAAAAGAAGGCCAATCTATTGGCACATACGTTTGACACAAAAAATTCGCGCCCCAGGAAAGGGCCAAGGCAACTCCAGGAGGTACTGGGAGGGGCCAAGACAACCCCAGAAGGCACCAGGAGGTCCCAGCAAGCCCCGGGAAGCCCCAGGAGGCCGCAGGAGGCTCTGGGAGACTCCAGGAAGCCCAAGAAAACCGCAGGAAGCTCCAGGAGGCCCCAGGAAGCCCCCCGAGGCTCCAAAAAGCCCCAAAAGAGGACCAATCTATAGGCATATACGTTAAACACAAAAAGGATTGTGAAGCCACCCGGACCGCGCCGCACCGGTGACACGCTTCCAACGGATCCATCCTGCAGGCTCCTGGGGCATTCCGCCTCAAGAAGGTCCCGGGAGGCCTCGAGAAACAC